GGCTTATGACCATTCGCATGAGATAGAGAAATATGCAAATCGATGCTAGGCAATAGGAAACCAGTAAATTATGAAGAAGGGTCAGGCGTGAATAAGAAGAAAATGGCATAAATTCATGAGACAATGTTGAAGCCATGGAACCTGTGTTTCATAACGAAGATAGCTAGGACCTTGTGAATAATGATTATGTCTCGACTGTGAGAAATCATCGCTAGAGTCAAGTTATTCCTCCATTTTCAGTACTTGAAGATTTTGAACAACTTTGAATTCCCGCAATTTGATTACCTTAGATTTCTGATTATTTCTTCTTCTTACTGTATGCTACTACCGAAATCAAATCAAATCAAGGGCATTTTGATCGACGCAACAAAGGCATACATAAAACAACTTTTGTCCACGTCTTCACTTTGCATTGACGATAAGAGCAGAAACTATCAGTCAACATGGGAAGCTGAAACTTAGGTTACAACAGCTAAGTAACAACAGATAACGACTTCTTCCTGATTCACTGTCATGTGATAAGAAACAAATGCCAACAGTCAAAAGGGATTGTCCTGATCCATGAGAAAAATCCAACCGTCATTTTCTAGCCTCGAATTGTACGACTTGAAAACGCTCTACAGAACAGCTATACAACTCAGTAGCAAAAGTCACAAACGAAAAAGCAGCAACAAAAGAATCCCTAATCCCATTAGACAGAATCAGAAAGGTTCCTTCTTCTTGAGGAAATAGATCGTGAATTGTTGGTAAGAAGTGCCAACAATGCAACTGTCAACTCAGGGCAGACACTTGCCGGTGATTCTACTGCTGGTAGGTGTCTCATCCTTGTGCTGCAGCATACGTTTTTCGTGCAACTTGGCTACTTATGTTCAAGAGCATGATCTGAGCATACTGTAGTCCTTGCAATGATACTTATATTATGACCAACTGAGGTACGGTACGGTATATGCCCCAGAGTCTTTACGGTAACAGTGAATGATTATCATGAACTGTGAAAGAGTCCAATAATAAAGCTGGTAAAGTTCAATATTTCAGGTTGGCAGAGATTGCTATTTCTTTTGAAGCAGTTCTGTGTAAGGGAAAGCGTTCCAAACGGAAGACCTGAAGGAATGCATGATAAGTGTTTTCAGAGGATAACGCTTGTGAGTTAGATGGAGACCAGACAATCGATCCCTTAGCAAATGGACAGACAGTCAGAGCTTTGAAATCCGGTGCAGTAACTTTGCCTGACGTGCGGTTTAATAGCATTTGCTACGTTCGTATTGTCACTGCAGTATAGTTCTGACAATTCAGTAAACGGTTGTAGAGTGAGACCTGCCTTTTTCCAACGGTCAGTTGGACAATTTCACAATGATATGTGTAAATTTCGCCCATCCGCGACTGCTGTTAATATTTTCTGACGTTTTATACCATTGCATCCTTAACCAACTGAGAAAAGCGACCAATCAGATGGATTGCGCGAGGTCGTAGGTGCCATGCGTGCAATATTATCTCATAAACTAATTGAGATACATTTATACCTTCTTCCTGGACGTGTGCTTTGTTGTGGCTTTGAAGACTGAACTTCGCGGCTGTGAAATCAGTCGTTTTCACAGCTCCCTTTTAACCTTTTCTCTTTTGATACTTTACCCTATGAATACTCATTTTCTAGGTCGAGCCCTTGAGTAGTATCATATTTTGACTTCGATTATG